AACATTTTATTTTACTTTGACTGCATAAGTCTTAATGTACTCACTTCCTGTTCTACTATAAGAAACAAATAAGGCAAGAAGTTGTAAGTTAGGCGAATAATTTGTATTTAATAATAATAATAAAGTACAACTTTCCATTTTCTGTAATAACGGAATAAGACAATTTATGACTAAGTCTCCCACGTTCTCTATAGTACACAGAATAATCTTTTTATAAAATATTCAGGATAGAATAAATATACAAATATAATATACGAAGTTAACTGAGGTCTTCAACAATCAGAGTCAGATGCAATTACGATCGAAATGGATCATAGAAGCAGGACCAAATTAGTTGCTTGTAAACGTTCTATAAAAAAGATAGAAGGGAGGCAGTTAACTATGGTAAAAACAACCCACAAGAGCTCAAGACCATAATAGGCGAAAAGGTTGTACAAGTTCCTTCTGTATAGATATTTCTAATCTTTTCAAATGATTCGACAATGCTGAGATGATGGAGGCTAAATGCTTTTGGCAGCTTTCTTCTTACCTTGTAGATGACTATGAACACAGAGTCCATTTTGATTGAATGACCTACGTCCACAAAGTGTTCGATTATTAAGCTATTTCAGACTTCTTTTTAGTTAGGTCGGGTGATACGCATCGAACAACCTATACGCCTGTCTTTACATGAACAAGTAAACTGAATAATATACATGGGGTAATTTATCCTTCCGATTCTTGCTAATAGCAAAGTTTTTGCAAAGCACGTTCTATTGAGATAGAGAAACGGAAATTCTCATTTTCAAGATGTCTGTAGCTACGTCATTCTTTGAAATCAACATTCATATAAATAATTTTCTTTGGTATGAAATCTCCTGATTACAGTTCATATTAATTTTGACATTTTATCTTATCACATTGAACTTTTCCTTTTCAATTACAATTTTCACTATATTGAAACGTTCTGAGCAAACAGTTGCATTAAATGTTCTCAAAAACTATCTGAAGTATAGCGCAAGGCTCAGTGAAGGAAAGACAAATGTTGATTTTATAAAGGAGTGCATAGAAACCAACTTGTATCCAAAAATATATTGGAAATCTTTACGTCGCTCTAGAATTCAACCAAATGGTAGGACTCTCAAACGCTACGCGTTTATAATCAAATCGATTCTCTAAACTTATATATTGCCGAGATGATAAAAAAAATGTCAACGAGAGAATTTACGCGGTAGAAGAGCTCCGTGATAAATTAAGAGAACAATATCTGAACTATGTTGAGCTAGTTGTTAATTCAAGAAAAGAAAAGAATGAAACCCAATAAAAAATCTAGACAAACATTCCGGAAATGAAATTTCCATCTAATCTAGATCAGTATGTACACAATTTTTCTAGTGTTATGCTAGATAAGAATAAGTTAAAAGCATTATCATTTGGCCCTAAGTTTTGTGACTTTAATAAAACAATTTTAAACGCATAACACAATTCTTATGAACGAAGAATATTCTTTTCAATGAATTTCTAATCAGGTTCTACAATCATAAATCCAGATCATCATATCATTTAGAATCAAATCAAATTGTTAATATTAGGGTTGATTAATATAAAATTGTTAACTTGAATCAGTTTATAAGTGAAATCAAATTGTGAGATAAATGATCAAAATAAATATGATCAATATGGGGCAAGAGGGAGAGAATAATGTAATTACAATTTAGAAATTACGTAATATATAGAATAATATGAATTAGATTGGATATTATAGATAAGATTGAATGTTGAATAAGTTTCTCGAAAAGGTTATCAAGTGTAATAATAATAATAATAATGGTAATGGTGAGATAAGTTGAGGATATAAAAATGAACATTAATCAAATTACGTCACCATATCATAAAATTGATTATTAACTAGTTGGCTAGGGTAAAACAAAGGAGCGGCTGAACATCTTTCTTTTGGATGCAAAACTCTTGCTTTTCGATCTGAATAGCAATTGCTCCAACCGTTTGCATGATTCTATGTCTGATGGAATTAGGTAGACTGTTGTTAACAGGGTATATTGCGAAAGATTGCTCCATGTTGGCTGTATGTTCCATCTGAATTAAATGGATTAAAATGGAGCTGTTAACCATTTTAATTACACCTTCGCCTAACCACAATGGGAGGTGCACACAAGACCGAATATACAAATCCCTAGAACATCTGCCAATATGACTTGCTCCACAGGAGCATTTGAACTGATAGATACAGAAAGAAGTAACTAGTCGAGACAATTGATCTTTCAACCACAGAGTTTTCATTGGACTTGTGGAAAACATTAATTGTGATCTACCTGTATTAAAAGTTCTTTGGATTGACCTCCGTAACTTCAGTCTTAGCATTTGACTAGGTACATCGCCTCTGAATTTTAAGCATATATATAGAGGCTTTTTATTCACTGTTAGGCATTCTCTATGCTGTCTTTTATAGGCTATGTTTTTATTTATAGATTGCTTCGAAAATACATTTTCTTTCAGGGTCAGTCAGTCAGCTACAACGTAGGACCAGGCACATATGTGCATCGGTCCAGGTTGCCATACCGCATCAGCACAACAAGATGAACACCGAATTCATAGCAGTGGTTAGGTCAAGGGTAGTAATATATAAGAGAAAGATTGCATATAGAGATATAGTACAAGAAGAAAGAATTGGTTCGTAGAAAGAAAGATATGAAGCGATTTTAATCTCTTAATTTAAGGGAAGACAGAGAGTGTATACACCGACGCCATTGTGATCGATTCTGAGCCATGTTACCAAGAGTCTCCAACCATTGGTTACGATAGTCACGCGGACCCCAACCAAGTAGTCTGCATCTACCAACATGGCTCAGACTAGAAGTTAGTGACTTCAGGCACTGATGCCACGTTTTGGTTTGGCCGCCCCTAACTTTCTTCCAACCATCTCCAATACCGGACAGCATTGCACGCCGTTGTAATCGGTGTTCAGGCATACGTAACACGTGGCCCAACCATCTCAGTCGATGAACATTCATAACCTCATCAACAGATTTACCATCATTCCATAATACCCTGCGTCTAACCTCACTATTACTTACCCGGTGATCCCAGCAGACGCCAGCAATATTTCTAAGGCATCTGTGGTCAAATACTAATAGCTTACCAGTGTCTTCTACTCTTAATGGCCATGTTTCGCTGCCGTAAATTAAAACAGAACGGACTACCGCGCAGTATACTCGTCCTTTTATTGATAGACGGATATCTCACCTTCGCCATAGGTGACGCAGGTAGGCAAAAGCCAATCGAGCTTTTCGAATCCGTGCTGAGATTTCGTCCGATACCAACCCATTAGGGCTGATCAGACTTCCAAGATAAGTGAAGTTGTCGACGCGTTCGACTACTTCACTCCCTATCCTTAGTTCAGGTGTTGACGCAGACCAGTCCTGAAGCAACAACTTGCATTTAGAGGGAGAGAAGTGCATTCCAAACATTCTGGCATTGTTGCTCAGTGCTACCAGAAGACTCTGCATTTTGTCAGCGTCTTCACCAAACAGGACTATGTCATCTGCGTATTCTAAGTCGATAAGTGGACCTCCTGGTAGGAGGTCAATACCCGAGAACTCAGTCATGTAAAATGTCTTTATCTTATCTTCGACCTTATGCTCTCTCGATACGGAGTATTTTCACTACAACTAATAATTACTTTTCCCGTCAGAGCATACGAATACGATGAGCTATACTGTTACACATGTTTAGGTAAAAGCAATATGAACGAAGATCTACTCACTACTATTTAAAAGAAAACAAGCATATGAAAATGGAGAAGTTTTTGAGTAAATAAGACTTAAATGTTGAATAATACATCATAAAATATTGAAAAGTCTACAGTCTTTTCACACATGGAACAGACATTGAAAAGCTTGTCTAGAATATTTATCAAAAGTTAGATTAGAGTTACCTTTGTTTTTTTATTGTAAGGAACTAAGGTTTTGTACTTAATTCTTTTATTCTGCTAACTTTTTTTCATTATCATTACGATCTAATTTTGCTTTTATTCACTTAACTTGCATTGTTACACCATGGAGTCTTTTGGCTCATCTGTTAGTACTTGAACTTCCAACTAACTTTATTAAGAATCATACCACTAAAAAATCAACTAAACGACGTAAGAATTGAGTCTCTCCCGAATTCCGTAGTGCTTTATTCAGCAAATAGATTATATCCGATTCGTTATGAATTAATTCCCCCCTCTTTTCATCTACCAAAAATTGATAAAAACTAGTCAACAAAGTAACTGGTTAAATCACTGATTAACATATGTACACATATATGAAATAAACATGAATGACAACTGAAGTTGACCTATTGACATAATATTCTAATAAATAAACTGTGACATCAAATAAATGTATGGAAAACAGACATAAATGAATCCCAATCCCTGAACATATTTTACCCATACATTATAACATTCATCTACAATGACAAAAAGGTTAACAAACTTTTTCTTGAAAAAGTATATTTACTTTTATAAAAATAGTAATAATCATAATAATAATCTCAGATTTCTCCAGTTAGAACAATAACAAAACAAAACATGTCTATCAAATTGAACGTTTATATGAGACTGTATGATCAACTCTATGTAATGTTGTAGAGATTGAGCGTAATTTGATTTCTGTAGAGTTAACAATGAATTGTGGACCAGTTTCCTCCCAAGAAGTAGGAACATTTGCATTTCGATCAGCATAGACTAGTAATTCAAAAGTGCCTGTTAATCAAATACATATATATATCTTACTAATTAAATAGATAAGTTCATCAACATTGATGATTTATGAGTAATTACAATTTCTTTAGGACCTCTTATTTCATCCCTTTACCACTGAAAAATCAGAGCAGTATTGTTTTTTGCTTCTAATTATCTATAGATTTACACACTTAAAAAATAAGCAAAATAATAGTTTTAAATACTGTCTAATTAATGTGTAAACTATTTTCAGTCGATTACAACGTAGGACCAGGTACATATATGCATCGGTTCAAGTTGCTATACCTCATTAGAATAGCAAGACGAACACCGGACTCATAAAAGCAGTTGCCACCTTGACGTGATGATCGAGCTTGCCTATCGTGATGAATCAATCGAGCTATACTGGCTGGAAAAATCGTTTCTCAAGGTCCTGCCATACCAGACAGGTCGGTTGAAGAACGGTAAGACTAAAAGCAGCAAACCCAAGGTGCGAAAACGAAGTCGTACTGATGACTATACAGGGGTGTGACAGTAGTAAGGTGTTGCCTTCAGACAACCAGCATAACAGCGATGTTGCCTTCCCAAAAATGCATACCTCGCCTTATCCCACAGATATCCGTCTCCAGCGGTAAGGTCTCAATAAATACCGAGCTAACACGTAAATTACTCACTAAAGAGTCATGTGTGACCGACCTTAAGTAGTTGTCCCTTAGATATTGCGATCACGCTCTCAGATAACTAAGACCACCCTCTAATCCAATTTCCTTTTCAGGTACCTCCAGAAGAACCCTTTCACAGTGTGGGAAACCGGAAAGTGATAACCCCCCTTATACCTCTAACAGCACTCACGTTCACTGTGTTCATGATCAACTAACTAGTTTAATAATGAATTAATCACATCAAATAAGTTTAAGCATAAAAGTATAAATATACTTACATGAACTATTTAATACTGGTAAAAATGTATTTGAAGCAACAATTTGACGTATTACACCTTGAATTTCACTTTGTATTTGTGCTAAAGATTTTGTCCCAACTGAATTACTAAAGAGAGAGGGAGAAAGAAAAAGAACACGACAAAAAAATAAACATATTATAAACTTACCTAGTATCTGTTTTTTCAGTTGTCATATCAAATTGCCATCTTTCTAATACTTCATCAGTTTTTACTGATTTAATTATTAATGCAAGTCGATGTACACTTCCATCTTCTAACCAATCTTAACACACATATATATATGGAGAGAGAATGGTATTCATTGAATTAATTTCTATTAAACATTACTTTTTACTTGATTTAATATAACATTTAAATATTTGATAAGATTTTCATCCGTTGTAACAAGTACACTTAAATCATATTTAATATTTTGTTTAAATGATGCTGATGGATAAATACCACGTTGATATAAAATACTATTTAATGCATAAACTAATAAAGAATAATATTAGCAAATTCAATAGATAAACATACAAAAATAATCTGTTAATAATTCAGCAGAACCTTTTAATGAGATAGAACTAGAAGTTTCCGTTGACATTGATTATTATGTAATAGTAAACTAAAAAAAAATGAAAAAAAATACATTTTAATATTTATATTCTTATGTGTATTGCTTAATGACGTCAAATTATTTGAAAGAATATAAGTTAGTATCTACGACGTGGTCAACACACACAAACAAAAGTCAAATTAGTGTACGGAATAATTTTTTTTTGGTCATTGGTCTTTTAGCGATTTAGTTTTCTACGGGAAGGGGTCGCTAACCCTATGCCCGACCCTCCTCCTTTATCCGGGCTTAGGACCGCAATAGCCTCAGAGGGGCTCCAGGCGGAGTTCTACTATATGGGGCGGAAACCTGAAACATGGTTCCAAGAGTACAAATGAGATGGGAAAATTAAAATAATGACATAATGCTAAGATTTTAGATTTAGGACGAAAGAAAAGTAAATATGTATTTGGATCAATGTGGTTGACTTTAAGTTACGTCAGTTGATCGTGAACAGAGTAACCTCGTATGCTTATAGTGTGTCAATGAAAAACTGAATAAAGATCGAATACTCTACTTTGATCACTAACTTTATGTAGACTATCGGTTGTCTTTACACCCTATAAGCAAGCTGATAGATCTCATTATTGTTATTTAAGCATATAAATACTGGTACAAATGGGCACCAAAACATACATGCACTACATAATGAGATTATGAAGAGATAGTGGAAGGTTAGTATAGTCAAAAACAATAAGTAGATGGAAATAAGTGAACGAGAGCAGTTTCGCTAACAAAAATACAATCGAAAAGAATCCTTTTAGTTACAAATTTCCCCTCACTTTTAAAAAGGAACTACAGTATGATTGCCATTGGGTTCTGTTCTGAGCCATGTTTGATAATTTCTCAAGACGCTGAGTTGCACTATGTCTAGGACCCCAGCCAAAGAGTTATAAACAACCAACAGGTCCCAATCCGGTACAGCTTTTTTTCGTACCCATACAACAAGTCATAAAATGATCACCTTTCCGCTATTTCCAGCCGGTCCCAGAGTTGGAAAATAAGATAGGACGTGGAAGTCGCTAGGACGATATTTGAATTACATTTTCAAGTCACCAGAATCAGTGTTTCAAGATGGTGACAATAACGGAATCATTGCTACTGTGTTTGAGTACACAACACCGAACCTCCGCATCACTAAAATAATTTTAACATTGGATGTCAACAATTCCACAGAGACAATGAGACACAGAGAGTTGCCTAACATCCTGGATTCCGAGAAGGCAGCTTTCACAGGGATGGAGCAAAACTGCTCTCACCGACGCGTTACAAACCCGACCTTTTACAGCCTGCCTAACATCAAATCTTACCAGTCACGTTGGCACAAGCACTCAGGCAGCCACCCAGGTACATGAATCATTCAACTACTCCTAACTGCTGACCACCAGGAGTGCAGACATGAGCTTCTCCCAGTGTTGTAAAAGTAGGCTGGCTTGAGAAAACAGTCCAGAGCTTAGCTGCGTAGAATGTTTCATTCAACGATTTTGAAATCCGTTTATTTAGGATTTCAGCAGCCTTATCTCCTTTAAATTCCATATTCATAAAAAGGGGTTTTCTTTTGTACTGTAAGTGCTTTTTCATGATGGTGTCTAGGTGTTAAGTTGCTATCAACGAAGCTAAGTGGATAAACATTCCTAATGAGAATCTGTGACTTAGGTTTTTTTAGATAGAATAGGATTTTAACTATAGGCGAAGAGCTTAGTGAGTTGAGAAACAAAAATAAGTACAGGAAGGTAATGAAAAAGAACAAAAGGATGAAGCGTAGAATAAATCTGGATATAATTAAGTACTTACAATAGTCATTTGTATAGGTAGCGAAAGTGAGTAAAATTGTTTCCTTCATTGATTATCAGTTTCATATTTGTGTGGGTTAGAATACTACCCGAGTCCTTAAACTTAACCAGGTTGTTTCCTTAGAGAGCCAATCCCGAGCCTTTGGCCTAGAGGCCTTATTCACAAGGCAATGGGGCAACGTTAGATGCGATCCTATGGTAGCCTGTGACCTAGGATAGGTTAATATACCATTCGATCTCTTAGAATCTTGGAGCCTATGTGCACCATTAGCTTAAAATCAGGGTTTTACAACTTTCCTAGGTGAATCCGCCACATTCAACAACCCGGATATTTGTTTCTCGTCCTCTTAATCCCATAAACTACATCCCTACCGAAAGGAAGCAGTGAGTAGGACTTTTCAGGAAGTGGGTATATAGGAGTATTTAAGAGCATTTCGAGAGCGAGCAGGCTAATCACAGCCTCGGTTGCACAAAGGCACTTAGAGATCTGAGAGATGGCCGCTAAACTGTCATGACAACGATACTAGTGACACTAATTGCTCCCTGAGTAGTAGCAGATCACATTTTATCTAACATTCAGTGTCGATAAGGTTCTGTCAATCTACTTTCCAATGTGACTGAGTGGCTAAGTGACTCGACATCAAGTTGTCCTTTATTTGATGTCGAAGGCTTGAAGAAAACTGGTAGGAAGACTAAAATTGTCACACGATACTCAGTTACACAACCTCCATGACCTCACTCACAAAGTCTTGATAAGTCAGAATATAGTAGTCATACGCAGATATTCCTTATTTACAGCACCGTCACAAACTGATTCTTTTATCCTAGACCGATATCGGCTACTATCGTAAAAATGATTGTCTGCAGCCGCTAGAACGTGTTGTTCAAATGGTTGTGGACGGAATAGAAGCTTTCGCTTAACAGGCTTCCGTGTCTAGTAGCAGGGGATCACCAAATCCTCCAGACAGAAACCTAGGTATGTTAACAATAAAACAGGAAAAGATATTAGTAAATCATAGTGCGATACTATCCTTAGTCCTTAAGAATAAATCAAGTTGCCTCTTAAAGGACTCCTGGGAAGTCGCTTGGACTAGCTCGGCCGGCAGCGAATTCCAGCATTTGACAACTCTTAAGGAGTAGAAATTGTGTCTACAGTTCGTTCTGCTATGTTGTGTCTCCAGTTTTTGGGTGTTACCTCTTAGGTGTTTCAGAGGATGTCCAGAAGTGTTAAGGATACTATAAGCCATCAGGTCACCTCTAAGATGTCTGTACTCTAATAGGTAAAGGTTAAGTGAATGGAGGCGCTCTTCGTAAGGTTTAAATTTGAGTCTTCATACTGATTTCGTGGCTCGCCGTTGGATACGCTCCAGGGTGTCCTTATCCTTTTGGAATGAGGGGGGAAATACTATGTTTCCGTACTCTAAATGGGGACGAATAAAACTATTGAAGATTATATGGAAAGTTCTTCCGTCAAACTGGCCAAAAATGCGCTTTAATGTTACCAGTGCAAGGTTTGCTCGGAATGCATTTTTGTCACAGTTAGCGTAAGACTTTAAATCGTAGGGCACCAGGACTCCTAAATCTTTTCGGCTTGGGATACTACTAGAGAGGAGTTAGCTAAGTTATAACTGTAGTCTGCGACATGTGGCAGATGGACTACTTTACACTTTGAAGTGTTAAAGGTAAGTCCGTTATCGTCTGCCCAACTTTGAATTCGAGTTAGATCCTCCTGAAGTGCCTGCATATCGTCTTGGTTGCGTATCTCTCTCCAAAGTTTCACGTCGTCGGTAAAAAGTAATAAGTCTGACGTTACCTGTTTAGGAAGATCATTTATGTAGATCAAGAAGAGAAGAGGCCCTAGTACTGAGCCCTGGGGGACCCCACTAGGACATTCCATAGCCTGAGATAAAGCGAAATTAACCCTGACCTTAAAATGTCGATTTTTCAGGTATGAAGTAAGCCAATCGATTAGAGGTGGTCTGATACCCAATCGTTTGAGCTTACTGATAAGACATGTATGGTTAACCTTATCAAAAGCTTTTGAGAAATCTAGGTAGATGATATCAACCTTCCCCTTGTGATCAAGGATGCTTGTCCATCTGTCCACCGCAGTCAGCAGGTTGGTAATACAAGAGTAACCCTTCCTGAAACCATGCTGTTGGGGTGAGAAGAAATTTAAGGACAGTTAATAGTCATTCATACCATCGCATATCAGGGACTCCATGATTTTTGAGGGTATGGAGAGAAGAGCCACCGGTCGGTAACTTGAAGGTTCGCTGCGTCGACCTCCTTTGGAAATTTATGTGATGTGAGCCAACCTCCAATTTTCCGGTAGTTTTCCTCGGCTTAGCGAGTATGAGAACATCACGCTAAGCGGCGTAGCCAAGATTGAGGCTGCTTCCCTCAGTATGGCGGAATGGACCATGTCCGGGCCAGGAGAAGTGTCTAATCTTAAGTGCTGCAGTTTCCGGAACACCAAGTCAGCGCTTAGGTTCACTTCGGGAAGTCCTGTGGAATCGCAAACGAAACTGCCATCAGTAGAGTTAATGTCAGTCGGTTGAAATGTCTGGGAGTAATGTTCAGTCAGAAGGTTGGCGGCGTCGCCATCGTTGTTGGTCGGGCCGCTAAGACCTACCAGTTGGGAAACTCCAGTTTTGGCTTGACGAAGAGAGGCTGCATAACGGAATAAGCTTTTAGGATTAGAGGCAAATTTGACCATAAGCTTTGTCTGGTACTGAAGCCTATCTTCTCTTATAGCCTTCGTGCATATGTTCCTGATATGTTTATATTGCCTGTACGCTCCATCGTTGTCAGTTCGTTGGTATTCCGCCCAAACCAAAACTTTTTGATTTGCAAGAAACCACTGTGGTTAGCTAATTTTAACCAGGATCTGCGTCATGACTGGCCTAAACGCAAGCCAAGTGGATAATCCACGGATATTCCGCGACAGGGATGAAATATTTCATCGTTAAGCATTGGAAAATTAGCTTATCATGATCCAAGAACCTGACGAATATCGACCAGACAATCAAAGCGTATACAAGTTCAAAGAACTCAAAGGCGTTATCTTAACATTGACAGTGGGATGAAAGCAGTTCTACGAAGGCGATATTACTAAAATTTCAACTTTGGCTAAACATAGAAACATATCTGACTAATTTCTTTACTCTTTAGCTGTCCAACCAAGTATCACCAGGAAGTTGTAAGGTCAAATTCCTGTCTCCTACATTTAAATTAGTAAGGGTAGATGAACTAAATACACCCAAAGTCACTACAAAGAGATTACCATCCATAATCGTATGTACACAGGCTGGAATTCTGATTTCGTTTTAATGAGCACAGATAGAAATCTGGTGAGGCTAAATGTAAGATATTATACAATAGGACATAAGACCTTCTACTTAAATGTATTTTCCCCCTTCATGATATTTTTTACTATACCCAACATGGTTTTTGATCAGTCCGTAAAAAAATATAAACTGAGGGGTTAGTGACAGAAACTCAGGGATGAGACAAATGTTGCTCATTTTACTAATGAAGATCTAAGGGAAGACCGACTTTGATTAATATACGTACTGTGAATATCAACGCGGACCAGCCAATAATCGATCTACCTACTTAAGACAAGGGATGTTGACAAACCCACAGTAACGGAAACCTTTGAAAATCCGCAAAAGTGTAGTTTTCGCCTTTTCGAATATTTTAAACATACCGTGTTCAGATGGTTCAAATGATTGTGGATGAAATAGAAGAAGCGTTCACTAAACGTGATTTCGTGTCTAGTAGCAGTAGATCACCAATAAATCAAAGCGGGAACCTAGGTATGTTAACTATAGTAGAGGAAAAAGAAATTGGCAAATCAAAATGGTCCAAATGGTTCAAATGGTTGTGGACGGAATAGAAGAAGCTTTCGCCTAACAGGCTTCCGTGTCAAGTAGCAGGGGGTCACAGGAAGATATTAACCTTAGTCCTCAACAATATGTCAAATTGCCTCTTAATGGACTCCTGAAAAGTCGCTTGAACTAGCTCAACCGGCAGCGAATTCCAGCATTTGATAACTCTTAAAGCGAAGAAGTTGAGTATACAGTCCTTTCCGCTGTGTTGCGTCTCTATTTTCTGGGTGTTATTCATGTAGCGGTAAATAAATTCCCAAAATAAATAGCTCTGTAAGTTTTCGACATTGGATGCTGACCACATTAGTTTTAGTGGACTCACCTAGCTGAGGGCCCTCGGTCATGTATCCGCACCAGATCATGAGTGGGAACGCCGTGCTCAACATCCCCTGCAATCGCTTTCCAGATTAGATCAGACGATTCTCGATATACTGATAGCCTATCAAATATATCTTCGAACCTCCTCGCTTCTGTCTTTTGATTTCACTTGGTGGATACGACTCATATTAGGTGTTACTGATCCAAGCGCTGTCATACTCCGAATACCTGTGGCATCTTCACCCCTTAGTTTTGTGTTGGAGATGAACTTAAGTAAATGATTTAGGGGATGTCCAGAAATGTTAAGAATACTGTAAACCACTAGAAGGTCACCTCTAAGACGCCTATAGTCAAATGGGTAAAGGTCTATTAGCTGAGTGCGCTCTTCATTAGGCTTGGATTTGAGCCCCCGAGCTGATTTCGTGGCTCGCCGTTAGATACGCTCCAAATTGTCCATATTCTTTTGGAGTGAGGGAGTAGATATTATGTTTCCGTATTTGAAGTGGGGACGAATAAAGCTGTTGAAGATTATATGGAACGTTTTGCCCTCAAATTGGCCCAAAATGCACTCCAGTGTTACCAGTGCAAGGTTTTCTCGAAAGACATTTTTGTCACAGCGTAAGACTTCAAATCATAGGGTACCAGCACTACTAAATACTTTTCAACTTAAGATATTTCTAGAGAGAAGTTTCCTAAGTTGTAACTGTTGTCTGCAACATGTCTCAGATGGACTAAAAAAAAGTTCATTGTCATCTACCCAACTTTGAAGTCGAGTCAGATCTTCCGGAAGTGCCAGTTTATTTTCTTGATTGCGTGTCTCACCCAAAGTTTCATATCATCAGCAAAAAGCAATAAGTCAGACGATACCTATTGTGGAAGATCGTTTACATAAGTCAAGAAAAAAGTGGTCCTAGTACTGAACCCAGGAGACACCACAGAGGCATTCCATAGCCCGAGAGAAAGTGAAGTTAACCCTCATCGTAAAATGTTGATTTTTTAGATATGAAATGGGACAATCAACCTAAGGCGGTTTGATACCTAGTCGTTCGAGTTTATTGGTAAGACATATGTGGTTGAACTTATCAAACGCTTTTAAGAAGTCAAGATATATGACAACAACCTTCCTCTTGTGATCAAGGATGGTTGTCTATCTGTCTACCGCGGTCAGCAAGTTGGTTATATGAGAATGACCTCTCCTGAAAGCATGCTGTTGAGGTGAAAAGAAGTTTGAGGGTAGTTTGCCTTGGCTTAGCCAGTGTGAGGACTGATAAGTCTTGTTAACTGAACGTTATATCCGGTTCCTAAGCTATTCTCGTAACCATCAAGCTAGAAATACACAGCGACCTGAACATGAGAGAAAAGGCGCAAAGTATACGAGAAGTACTTTACTCGAAAGGTTCATTTCAGTACAGAATTATAGGGTTTTTAAAGTATCTTAGATGTCCTTGGGTTTCCCGAGGATTGCGAAACGCTACTAAACATAGTACAGCATAGTAATCAGCCAATTAGAAACCTTTTTTTCACTTTCTTGATGTTTCTGGTTAAGACTTCAAATGGAGGCTGTTAGGATGAAATGAGTTCTTAGTGTTTCCTGAGCCTTTCTTGTCTTTTGTGAGAAGTTTTGTGGATCATTCCAACAGGAACATCACGCTAAGTGGTGTTGCCAGGATTGAAGCTGCTTCCCTCAGTATGGCAGAATGAACCATATCCGGGCCAGGTGAACTTATGGTATTGATGCTGATTTATCACGCAATATACCTCTTTAAATCGTGTTATGAACGTTGAATTGGCTTCACTACCTACCCAGTAATCCTATTACAAACAAACTAGACAATTCGCTAATATACGAAGCCTACTCAAGACCATATGATACCTGGAAAAAAATAATACAAAAAAAATGAAAGGGGCTCTAGTGGCTTCGATAAAAAAGGAAGATAGCCAATTGTATATCACAATACTGTTTCTAGCACTATATTTTATTTTATAACCACACATAATCCCGTACTCTCAGCTCCTTTCCGAATCGCCTCCATTTGTCAGTTGTATGTCCACTCACACCTTGTTAACACTTATTTTCTCTAACCTATTAAAATGCTCTTTCTTAACAAATACCTTAATAAAAGAAAATTAGACTGAGTAATCATACCTTGAATTTTGTTTCATGAATATTGGCTACTCTGCCTCTCGTCCTTTCTTATACTTGCTCTCTCTTTCAGCCCCCTTGTGATATGGAATGAAAGATTTCATCCTGCACCATCCTCAAAGCCTTAGACATTCCAAAGGGACATAAGGTTGCGACTTTTAGAAGCTCGCACTGTTACGGGAGAACTGAAGACTTTTGACGAGTTGAAACCTTTTATTGTACATTAATAATTTACTGTGTTTTTTGGATGTAATTGTTTTACTTAACTTTTGAACTTGTTTGTTTATATCATTATTTCGGTTTGGTATTTTGGTGCTGTCTTTGTCTTTGGTTTGGTATTTGGGAGTTTTGCTCCGGGAACCTACAAAATTGAAGGTTTGTTTTGTAATTGTTATAATTATTGTTGTTAGAACGACATTTGGTCGATTATTTGTGAATTACGAATAAACTTGGTATCTAAATTGGAACTTGGTTATGTTGTTAATTTGGGTTCGTAATTTGCAAGTAGATCGATAGTCCGTACTTCAATAACTGGAACGAGCAAAACTTGGACGTAACATAAAGTTCTTCAATTATTGGTTCTGTGTTCATACCTTGGATTTTCTGGATATTTTTGGTCCAAATTTCTGGTCTTATTGGTCGATTTCGTTTGGATTAATTCGGATTTGTTTTGGTAATTGATTATTTGGAACAACAAATACGATGGAAACACGGAGCAAAAGGCTGAAGGAAAATGACGAAATGGATGGTAAAATTCCTAAAGCTGTTTGTGGTATGTCTGATGTTAATGATGATAAATGTGATAATGTTAGTCTTAATAGTATGTCCTCTAGCCAGCTAAGTGCTTCTAGATTAAAATTAGATAAAGCATTACTGAGGAAAAGGAATTTAGAGAAGAGACTTGAATTAGAACGGCAACTTAAGATGTTAGATCTACAAGAAGAGGTTGATATCGCTGTACTAGAATGCAAGGCCTTCGAGGACGATGAACGATTACCCGTAGATAAATGTGGGATAAATGCTAAAGTGGAAAATTATTTGGATTGTGATACTGGGTGTAATAATCACTCAGGGGAGGTATGTAACATCTCAAATGTCGATTGGGTTGGCGAGCTGAAAGACACGATACATACAATGGTTAGTAACATGGTTTTACCTAAGATCGATATGATTTTCTTTGATTGGCAGCCGGGTCAGTATTACCGTTTCATTAATCAGTTTAATAGCCTTATAGAGAGTAAGCTGTCAGATAAGGGCGAATTGTTGTCGTATTTGTTATATTATTGCAGGGGAAAAGCCAGAACAGCAATTGAATCTTGCGTTTCTTTGCCCAGTGATTTGGGCTATGATAGGGCTAAACGAATTTTGTATGATTTATTTGGTAAAGAACATCTTGTTGCACGAGAACTAATTATTGAGTTATTAAACCATAAACCTGTCGGAGGATCGGCTGACGTATTAACTGACTTTGCGATTAAGTTGCGTAATGTATGTATAACGTTGAAGCAAATGGGATATATGTCTGACGTTAATTCTACGGCTAATTTGGAGGTAATAGTTTCTTGCCTACCACTAGAATTGCAGAATAAGTGGGTGGAAGTCGCCGATAAAATCATGATGCATGGGAAGGAGCCGAGCTTTGAAGAATTTGTGGTCTTTGTAGAAGAGAGGGCCAGAATTGCCCGAACCCGTTATGGTAGATTAGTACAGTGTAACTCAAGGTTCGGTAGAAGGAATTCTGAAGGCCAAGCTGATAGGAGATCACACTTTCATGCAATTAGACGAGACCCAAATAGCTCAGTCAAGGTATCACGTTGTGAAATCTGCGAAGGTGATCATGAGGTGACAAATTGTCCAAGGTTAGCAAAAATGAATGTAAGAGAAAGGAGGCAGGAGGTAAGAAAATGTGGTCTATGTTACTTATGTTTGAGGAAAGGTCACATAGCTATGACATGCAACTCAGGCATCAAGTGCGACGTTGAGAATTGCAAGGTTAGGCATAATTCATTATTGCATATTGATAGTGTTGATAACCATGTGGTGAACCTAGCTAAGGATTGGAACTCTTCAAAGGTTTGTTTGGGGATCGTTCCAGTCAGACTATACGGTCCCAAAGGATGTTTGGAAACATATGCACTTCTAGATAGTGGTTCGGACACTTCTCTTGTATGTGAAGAATTAATTAATCAGTTGGGTATCAAAGGTAAAGAGACTTCGATAAGGGTGGCGACTGTGAACGGAACTATCAATTGTGATTGTTTGGAGGTAAATTTAGAGGTATTTTCA